CAATAAGACCATTGCAGGCCTGTGTTAACAATAAAACCATGACAGGCCTGTGTAATCAGTCTTGTACTTTCTCTGCTGATGTTTAACATTACCATTCTTATTCTTAGTATTGCATTAACTTATGTCTTAGGTAGCCCCTCAGTAGCACAGCGGTATGTCTGCGGATTTACAACGCTAGAAACCAGGTTTCGATACCCGTGGTGGGCAGAGCACAGATAGCCCATTGTGTAGCTTTGTGCATAAATTCAAACAAACAAACAATGTCTTAGGTAGATATTTAATTCAGTTATTTTTTAGTTCTAAAGATCAAAATGGTCACTGCCAGTAAAATAATTATTTATTATTTCATTTATTATGTCATTTTTATGTAGTAACAGACCAAGTCTGCTTGATATAACAGTATTTGTAAAGTCATTAGTAATACCACATTGAGATGTTTCATCGTGCCTGCAATCCTACAGTTGTGGTTTTCATGTCATTCACTACTATTTTTAAAATGGCTGATATAGATGCCATTTCGACTGATTCATAATCAGCTCTACTGTTGAGCAAAAGTACACATCAAAGTGCAGTGAAAAACACTCTTCTGATCTGAAATTTTAGCGTAAAAATCCCAACAACCCACATCAAAGTTTAGTGAAAGACACTTCTAAATTGAAATCCTAGCGAATAAGGAGCGAAACGTCCAAAAATCCTCCTAATTTTATTATAATGTTTTATCACTTCTTAAGACCTAAATACATCTTCATTGTCTATCTTGCTATTCATATTTTAAACTTAAAATAATATTTGTTTAATTTTTTTCAGGCAAACATAACCTGTCAAAACGCAGAAAAAGTGACAAAAATGAGCCTTCGATTGTACGATGAAATGACAGAACAAAAAGTTCAAGCTGAAGATATTTTAAATGAAGCAGTTTTACTGTATAAGGTTAGTTGGAATAGTTTTGTCTATTATATCTTAAAGTTATTTTGGTAATAAAAATAGAAATATAAGAAAACTATATTTCATTTTAAGTCGATAATGACTCACACTGTACAAGAAAGTACAATATACACTTATAAATCATGATTCATAGAAATATAAACTTTGTCTTGTAACTTATCAAACCGTTTAGTAGTATGTTGAAAGAATATATTTCTTAAGGAAGTACCAGTCTGAAAAAAAAGAGTATAGATCTGTTCGAAAATGTTGTTCTAATCGAGTTTAAAACAGTGGAATAACACACATGTATGCTGATCATGCAACAAGTTTAAAACAGTAAAAGAGCACACATGCGTGCTTATCATGCAACACGTTTAAAACAATGGAATAGAACACATGTATGTTTATCATGCAACGAGTTTAAAACAATATAATAGCACACGTGCATACTTATCATGCAACAAGTTTAAAACAGTGGAATAGCACACATGTATGCTGATCATGCAACAAGTTTAAAACAATGGAATAGCACACATGTATGCTCATCATGCAACAAGTTTAAAACAGTGGAAGAGCACACATGCATGCTGATCATGCAACAAAGCTTATAAATCGTCAGAAATGGAAATAACAATATAAATGTCTATGATTATTGAAAATAAATTAAAATAGCATAATCATTTAGGGTAAGGTTGAGACGATCGAGCTTTAATCGTTATTATGACAGTCTCAACGAACATAACCTCACCTTTTAGTATGATCAAAGCTGACTTCCAACAGGAACATAAATATTACAAACAACAAGAGGGCTTTAGTCATAGGGTTCAGTCTTACCACAATTTAGAAGACAACGACTACAAAATAGTCGCTTTACGACCCAGGATTGGATCAGATGTGCAATATTGCCACACACATTTATAAACTACCAGAATGCAGAACGTCCAGCGATACATTTCACAATATAAATATAAGATACAAATGTCCGCTCTTATATATGATGGTTACCAACACTTAACATTGATACACAACAGGAAAAATTCGTCGTTTATACATCAAACTTCCCAAAAGTGTAGCGACAGACGTCATGCACTGCCTAAGTCTTCGTGTTGAGCAACTCGTCAGTAGAACCCTCTGTTCATAATAGCTGCTCTTGATACCTGATAAAGAAGAAACAATAAGTAGGGAGAATATTACAGACACAAAGTCACATTCTCATTTGTGTCAACATGCAAACAGTATAAAAGCAGAGCAGTATTCAGAAACCACAACACAGTTTGATCTTAATTCGTTACCACCAAACCTCCTAATTAGAACACAAACGCCATTTACGACACCTCTTGTGAACGTGAACTCCGAGACATGGGGAAAGCAGGAAGACTAGCAATATTCAGGATTCAAGAGCATAATAGGCATACAAAATTTGTGACTAGATCTACCTGCAAGTGCCTATCATGTCACAGAAAAATGACATGAAAAAATAATACTAAAATACTGTGATGTGTGAACCACACATGAGAAAAAGAAAGATAAAACAAATCTTCTATATCCATCTATCTGATAACAAACTCGGTCTATCTGATAACAAATTCGGCCTATCTGATAACAAATTCGGCCTATCTGATAACAAATTCGGCCTATCTGATAACAAACTCTGTCATTGTTTTGTAGAAATAAGCAATATATAGGCATTCCTACTAAAACTATTCAAACGTTTAGTTACTTTGAATTCCGGACACGTGATAGTTCACTCTCCTTTCCAGCAAAAAGAACAAGGGTCGAATCCCTACTTCTGCCATCATATACAGCCCACACCTTCTCAGTATTCTTCTGAAGACAGCCACAGATTAGTGGCTGAAATGTTGGATGTAACGCATTAGCTGTTATTATATTGTAGCTAGCAATGAAAAGCAAATGAGGGCTAGAGTTTGGAGGCTAGAACCCACAACGTACTAAACCCAACTACCACTCACCGTCCGCAACTGGTTGTGGGTACGGTAGCTACCCCAAAAAAGCAATTAATTTAAAGTGATAAAAATGAAGTTAAACTTAGAATCCTTGCATCAATATCTATTGATAAAAACACCTTTAATTTGTACAATTGTAAAACATCAAATTTCCACCCATTCACTATTATTAAAGTTAACAAGTTCTATAGGAATCTTATCTAAACATCAGCACCTACTTTGATGTATGTGGATTAATACGTGTGTATATGCAAATATATAATTTATAATGAGGAGCGAAGCAATCAACAGACAAATACAACAGCGTTGTTGATTTTTTTACAATCTAAGCCGCAACCTTTTAGTTCATAGATATTAATTGTTTGTTATACCCGTTACTCTAAAATTGGATCTTCTTACATTTTGTGTTGTATAGCGCAACTCCTCGGATGAACTTCATCATTAAGTAATATATTACTTCAGTTTGATAGACTTTTAAAAATAAACGTCTTAAACTAAACGTTAATAATTAGGCCATTTTATCTAGCTCTTGTGAAAATCATTACACTTGCTACCTGATGAGAGGTGTAGAATCCAAACCTAATGCTCTCTTATATCACGCTGGTTGTATGATTTAGGTGGTTTCTTGAGGCTAGTAAAGAAAAAAGCAAAACAGTATTCTTAATGTAAAAACCTAACCTGATTTATTCTTGACTTTTTATTTACTTATTTTTACAAACGTACGCTATACATAGACAAAAGTATACACAAAATATACACGCATAATAAAAAGATGGCAGATATTTTTACTGTAGTTCTTATAGCCTTGTAAGAAGGAATAAAATGAACGTTATACATAGACAAAAGTATACACAAAATATACACGCATAATAAAAAGATGGCAGATGTTTTTACTGTAATTCTTATAGTCTTGTAAGAAGGAATAAAATGAACGCTATACGTAGACAAAGATATACACAAAATATACACGCATAATAAAAAGATGGCAGATATTTTTACTGTAATTCTTATAGCCTTGCAAGAAGGAATAAAATGAACGAACTCTAGAAAATACAAAGCCTTTCGTTGAATTGGTTCTCAATGAATCCTTATTTGTAAAGTGTGCTGTGAGGAGCTCAAGAACAAACATCCTGTTCTAGCAACACATTCACCTGCTAACCAAGAAATTATCTTCCCCCTAATAATGGGTATCACACACAATGCACCGAATGAAACCAACACAACCATCGTCCAGTTGTTTGCCTATCTGTCTCCAGGCCACCGATTGGAAATAGGATGTATCAACCCTTGTCAATCCAGGAAATGTATAATCAGCCATCTTGGGATAAGAGGCCTTATAGAAACGAAATTATACAGTTCATTCGTAGAGTTCACGTATATATATACTTGTCAAATTATTTACATTTATGGAAATCATGTTACAAAGATCTCACAAATAGTAGCTGGCCATATGTCGGATGCATGAGCGCAGAAAAATCACTGCAAATTTGTTCGAAAATTCCTGCAGTTTTTTTGCAATTCTTTGTAAGTGAAAACATTTCACATATCGTTTCATGTACATAGGGGTTTACAGATGACTAAACATTAAATATGCTACTTATCGATCGAGTTCATCTAGTTCCAGAAACCTATATCCACTTAAATCAGTTATACTAATCCGTCCGTCCATCTAACGTCTCTCTCTGTGTGTGTTAACACAAAGTTATTCCCTTTAGGCAGTATACCTAATGTGTGGTCTATGCCACGAATTCAGATCGTCTCATGATACCTGTGCATGGACAGAATAACACTCGATAGTTAGGTAGTTTAGAACACTTTACAAATAAGGATTCATTGAGAAACAATTCTAGATAGTTTAGAACACTTCACAAATAAGGATTCATTGAGAAACAATTCTAGGTAGTTTAGAACACTTCACAAATAAGGATTCATTGAGAAACAATTCTAGGTTTTTTAGAACACTTTACAAATAAAGATTCATTGAGAAACAATTATAGGTTTTAATTGTTTTAATAAGATCAATATCTTTATTAAAGTTTTTGTATAATGTTTACTCATAAAATGAAAGTTATCCTTAAAAGAAACAATAAGGCATTACTTTATAAATAATTTGGGTTCACACTATGAGCAATGACAGTGCTAATCAGTTTAACTAGAGCCAGTATATAAACTACGCAACGAAGTTAAAACGTTTGTATAATGCTATTAATGTTCTATTTTAAGACATTTCACTAAGTTCAGGAAACACCTCTCTAAGTTTTCAGTGTAGTTGGTTATGTTGGAATGAATTAGTTGGATTGTTTATTTGTATAATCGCATTTTCACACAAATCACATGGAGTTGTATTTAAGTCGTTTTGTTTTGGTTAAGCATAAAGCTATAAAATGGGTTATAGGTGCTTTGTCCACCACTGGTATCGAAACCCGAATTCCAACGCCGTAAGCTTCCGACAACAAATGACAGTAACTGTTGCCCAATATTAAAGGAATGGAAATACATCGGAATCTCAACAGTGCACTTACACGTAGAAACTCAACATCTACTTAGTTACACGTAGATGCTCTACATCTACTTTGTTACACGTAGATGATCTACATATACTTTGTTACACGTAGATGCTTTACATCTACTTTGTTACACGTAGATGCTCTACATGTACTTTGTTACACGTAGATGCTTTACATCTACTTTGTTACACGTAGATACTCTACATCTACTTTGCTCAGTATCAGATTTCATTTTACAGGATGTTGTAAAACAAGTCTTAGTTGAAATACATTTGGCATTAATAGAATATAGAGTAAAATACTTTATCTAACGAGGGCTGATGATTGATTATAATGAAAAAGTTGGCTAAAGAGTTGCAATAGTATTGATGATTTTAACAACTTACATTGTTAACTAAAATAATACGGATTATTAAAAACCATACCATTTTAAATTAAACTCTGCTATACGCTACTGACAGAAAGGCCATTTCTCAATGTGTGTACTCGTGAGGCCGTTGTATTATAAATGATTTTACTTTCAGTCGAATACTAATCATCAGTTCGTATAAGGTTTAAGTTCTTAAACTAAACAAACATAAGCAATTATAGGGAAGTGAGGCAATCACAACTGTGTTACTATTATACATGCTTGATCGCCTCACTTCCCTATAATTGGTTATGTTAGTTTAGTTTAATTGACCGAATCCCTATAATTGGTTATGTTAGTTTAGTTTAATTGTTACTACTAAGTGAGGCGATCAAGCACAGTAGTAACAATTAAACTAAACTAACATAACCAATTATAGGGAAGTGAGGCATCAGTGTCATTACACTACCTAGCCGTTCCACCGTGACTTTATACTGGTTATAGTTGTCAAGCTACATGCTGATTTGTATGTTCCAGACCGCTTTGATATAATGTATTCAACTCTCTGTATATGCTTTATTGTCTGACTATTCATTTGTTCAAATAATAGTAATGTTAAACACTGGTGAAATTATCTTTATATTCGTATAGAATCACCCTCAGCGACAGTAAACAAAGCGTTGTATTGAATGATGATACTGTACAAAATTTTTGAACGAAACTATTAGTCAGCTGCCCATTGATCGAATCACTGTGTTACAACTATGTTTATTATAAGGTCACGGTGGAACAGCTAGGGAGTGTAATGCCACTGATGTAAGGTCACGGTGGAACAGCTAGGGAGTGTAATGCCACTGATGTAAGGTCACGGGGGAACAGCTAGGGAGTGTAATGCCACTGATGTAAGGTCACGGTGGAATTGGTAGATAGTGTAATACCACTGATATAAGGTCAGGGTGGGACGGGTAGGTAGTGAAACGCCACTGATTTAAAGTCATGGTGGAACGGCTAGGTAGTGAAAGGCCACTGATATAAAGTCATGGTGGAACGGCTAGGTAATGAAATGCCATTGATTTAAAGTCATGGTGGAACGGCTAGGTAATGAAATGCCACTGATACAAAGTCATGGTGGGACAGGTAGGCAGTGTAATTCCACTCAAAATGTATCGCTTTTGGCAAGGGTATGTAACATCCTCTACCGACGCACAATATTCTTACACTGATAAATATGTATTCTTATCGGGGATTTAGAATTTCCAAGACGGTAATATTCCTTGTACATGATGGAATTGGAAAACAAAGGAATATGGATCAACTTATGGCACCAAGGTCATCCAAAAAGTGATTTGGAACAAGTCATATCTCATTCGTAGTATGCAAGGTGCGGCGTTTTTTAAGAGGTGACTATACATGAACATAAAGGCCAGTGGCAAATGCCATCCTCGTGCCCCAAACACAAGCTCTTTCCACGACATATCTGTCTAAAAACCAACACAAGCTCTTTCCACGACATATCTGTCTAAAAACCAACACAAGCTGCTTCCACGACATATCTGTCTAAAAAACAACACAAGCTGCTTGTACAACATATCTGTCTAACACAAGCTGCTTTCATGACATATCTGTCTAAGAAACAACACAAGCTTATTTCACGACATATCTGTCTAAAAAACAACACAATCTGCTTCCACCACATATCTGTCTAACACAAGCTGCTTCCACGGCATATCTGTCTAAAAACCAACACATGCTGCTTCCACGACATATATGTTTAACAAACAACACAAGCTGCTTCCACGACATATCTGCCTCAAAAAACAACACAATCTGCTTCCACCACATATCTGTCTAACACAAGCTGCTTTCATGACATATCTGTCTAAGAAACAACACAAGCGTATTTCACGACATATCTGTCTAAAAAAACAACACAATCTGCTTCCACCACATATCTGTCTAACACAAGCTGCTTCCACCTCATATCTGTCTGACACAAGCTGCTTTCATGACATATCTGTCTAACAAACAACACAAGCTGCTTTCACGACATATCCGTTAAGAATAGGAATTAGACAATTGTCTAATGTAAATAAATGCCAACTTTGGGGTCCGCTTTCTGGTAAACCACGTAAAAATATTTTCGCGGAATACCCGGGTACTCTTAGTGGTTGGATAAAAGCTTTACATTTGTGCAAACCTCGGGGTCGAGACGATTCGTTTGGCGCCATTTAGAAGTTGATGAGTCCAGCGGTTTAGGAGGAGTTACGTGAGAGACAGACAGAAAAGCACATATATACACATACACTGAATCTTATTATATAGTTGTTTCTGTGTATGTTTCTATTATGTGTTTGGTGAGCTGTAGTATTTAATAAAGGGCATCATCGACAATGGTCTAGAAGAAACAAATATTCTTGCAACGTTAATATATATATTATATGTTACTGTATAGTTCTAATAGCATTCGGAAGATATTTGATAATGAAATGTATATGAATTTTTTTTCATGCTCTTTATATCTTATATCTTTTCTAAACTGAAACAGATGAGTTAAACTTAATCTATGAGAAAGAAGTTTTCAATGTGCCCAATATTTGGCTATTTAAATCACGCAGTAATTAATGAAAACCTTGTAGTTTCTTTAACACCTCACTACGTTTTTATACAGCCTACTGGTTTTATAGTGTGACTGTTGACTTTCTTTCTTCAGGTATCTTATATCGTAGTCTGTCTCTTTTACAGGGAATGGAAGAGCTATTAAGTGACACACAGGTAGCTTTAAACAAAGCTAAGGACGCTGTTCAGTTTGGGGAAGGCGTTTTATTTAATGCAAGAGAAACACTTAAAACTCTGAAAGGTATTTTATGAAATTTTAAAAATATTATATCACAGGAAACTTGTGTGATTTTATATTCCTCTATAAATTCAAACCTTTCTATAGTCGTGGTACCTGTGAACATATTTTTTTGTTCTTAGCCAGTGCTAGTATTAATATACTTCTCGTTTTATCTCAAAACGCGTTTTTATATTAGGCTTAAACTGATGAATTTGATAACTATACATTCTAAATCTGTTAAATATGTTTTTTATATATCTATATATACTACTAAAACTCTGAGATTGTTTGTGTGTTTGCTTGTCTGTAATTAAATAAAGTACAAACGGCGCACAATAGTGCCATATTTGTAATGAAATGAGAATAGAGATGGAAATAGAAACAGAATCAAACAAGTTTCGTTAAAATCGGGCCACGGGTTACCGAGTTAGCGCCGTTTTTCGGGTTACTTTTCGTACATTCCATTATTATAAAACTACGTTTTCCACCTGATGAATCTCTTTAAAATATCTTCTATACAACAATATATGCACAACAGAAATTAAATGATGGGATGAAAATGTGTTATAATGGTGCATAAAAAGAACAGCAATAAAATGGACCTACAATATTACTGACTATTTGCAAATAGTAACCATGGAGACGAAGTAATAAAATAAAAAATCAAGTCGAGAACAACAACAACATTTTATAAACGAAAAC